TCAAAAAAATTTTAATGTAGTGTTGTATTATTTTAAAACTGTATTTTAATAGTATTAGTAACCAAATAAAAATTGGACAGGTAAAGGTTCTGTGACTTTTTATTTTGAGACAGGGTCTCACTATGTAGCCCAGGCTGGCCTTGAACTTGTGACAATCCTCCTGCCTCAGCCTCTAGAGTGCTGGGATCACAGGTGTGTGCCACAACACCTGGCAAGACTCTATGACATTAAATTATTTTTTGGTGCTGGAAATTGAATCCAGGGCCATGTGCTACACTTTCAGCTTTAATTTTTTTTTAATTGTGGTAAAATATACATGAGATTATCATTATAATAATTTTAAAGTGTACAGTTCAGTGACATTAAGCACACTCGCACTGTTGTGCAACCATTACCACTTTGAACTCAGTTTTCAAAATACATTTTCTTCCCCAACCAAATATATTTTGTACCTCTGAACAACCATAACCCCCAGTAGCAATGCTCAACCCTGGAACCTAGATTTTTGTTTTCTTCTTTTTTTTTTGGTACTGGGGATCAAACTCAGGTCCTTGCGCTTCCACAGCAGGTGGTGAAACCACTGAGCTAAATCCCCTGCCTTAGATTTTGTTTTCTAAGTGTTTTCTTTCCACTAGAAGTTCTTGGTCTGGACAAGAAGAGTATAAGGAAAACCTAGACATAAAATTTGGGGCAATATGAGCATCAAAAATAGCAACTGTTACATTGATGTGACAACAGTTAAAGAAAAAAGAAAACAGTTTATTGGCAGTGTATGTAATTAAAGGTGTGTGTTTGGGCAGGGGGTACAATTGTTTTATTTTATTTTATTTTTTTGTTTGTTTTTGAATTGTTTCATTTTAAATAAAATCTACCACAGAAAATAGTTGGGATGGATGGACTCTTTAACCGTATTGTTTTCTCATGGATTCTTTCCTCAAGAAAGACCAAAGGCCCCAGAAAGAGTGGCTGCTATCAAGAAATCAACCAATAACAAATGCTGGCAGGGGTGTGGAGAGAAAGGAACCCTTCTCCATTGTTGGTGGGAGTGCAGACTGGTGCAACCACTGTGGAAATCAGTATG